CAGTTCCTCTTCAGTTGACGTCACATCCAGGAAATTGTCCACATAAAATTGTTTGCTCATTACTTTACTCAGTGGACTTCCCGTACATTTAAGGTGTGCATTTATCGTCGCTTGAAGTAGGAACAGACTGGATGTAGCACCAAATAATATGCTCCTAAAGTGGAAGGTTTTCAGAGGGCTAAGTGGGTCACTAGGATTCTCTGGTCATAAGAAGTGGGTACAATCCCAGTTAGCCTCTTGTAAATCCACTCTTAGGAAAGCTTTACTTATGCCAGCCATAAAGGCTTAATCCTTCACCCTGAAATTTAATAAGATATCTCCTAATTTTTCCGTCAATGACGGACCTCTCATCAAACAGTCAATTAAACTAGATACATTTTTGTTACTCCTGGCACTACAATTAAACACAATCCTCAGAGGAGTGGTCTTAGAATCCTTCTTCACTCCGTGATGTGGCAAATAATGACCATAAATTTTGGCTTGCTCAGGAGGTACCTCTTCTATAAATTTATTAATTAATTGTTCAGTAATTATATCATTATAGGCATTCAACAATTCTGATGTATTACTCAGTTCGCGGAGCTGAGCCTTTAATTGTCCATATGCCATTCTGTAATTAGTGGGCAATTCTGGATGGTTCTGTCTCCACGGAAGTTGTACCCAGTATTGTCTAGATTCAAATTTTACATCTCTCAGGTACTGTTCCTGGACTTTCTTCATTTACATTTATTCCAATGCTGTCTAATTCCCACAATTTATGCACTGGCTCAACACCATCCTCTATGAAAGAATTTTATTTCGGTACGATTTCATGTGTAAGACACACAGTGATAGTATTTATAGTTTCCTCTCATCATGCATTATTATTACGAGGAATCCTACCATACATTACATGGCCTCCTGCAGTCTTTAAAAGGGTGACACCACATTTCTTTACCATACCCTTTACAAAGGAGGCATAATAGTCACTACCTATCAAAATATTTATTGGGTCTACAGAATCATCATTTACACCAGAAGGTGCTAAATTTACATTATATGAAAGTCTTTCTGTAACTTTACTAAGCCCTACTGTAGATATTTTCTCTGGGAGCCTATCTACAACTACTGCATTAATGCGTTTTTTTCTCATTGCCCAACCTGACAGTTACATAAACAGTGTCATACAATTAACCCCTTTTATCTGAGAGAAAACCAGATAATTTTAGAGTTGTAGGATCTCCCATTTATACTTTAATCCCATTAATTAAGACATTTACGTTTTATGAAAGTACGCTGTGATCTCTGGTCTAATAATGCAGTTACATTTTTTATTTATGCCTTTTATCATCAATTTTTACCTCTAACACAGGTAAGGCTACTTCAACAAAACCATCATTATTAACGCTAGCAGCAATTTTTACATTAGCTACTGTTGTGTCAGGATTGTCAACATTATCATTATTATCAACATTATCATATAGACCCTTACACATGACTATATGGTGTCTTCCTTTGTGACATTGATAACAGTTGTTTAATTTGGCATGACAATCCTTTACATTGTGATTACCTAGACACCTGATAAATCTGTCAAGTTCTTCCAATCTTTCAACTTTATCATTCCATGAATTGTATGCATTGCAATTCTTAGAAAAATGAGTACCCTTGCAGAAGAGACAATCTCTCTTTTCTTTGACTGGTTTCTCATTAACTGGGCTACTCTTAGGAGGGCACTTATTCTTCTTACCTTGTGGAGAATCATTATTTCTGATTCCTGCTACTTGATATGTACCTGTGCAGCTCTTTTTAGGAGATGAATTTTGATTATTAACATTGGGTTAAATTTTTCCTTTGTGAAAATTGACAGATACCTCAGAGTTATTATGTGTTGCATCTCTAAAATGAGTTGGTTGGCTGGTCTGCAACTGAACAGTTAATTTTTGTAGACCTAGTCTTATTTCCTTCAGACCAAAATAACCTTTGTGATACTTGTTCAAGAGCAATTCAAGTGTTTTACGGCTTAATTTATTTTGTACAGTGGCACTCAATAACCAGTCTGATTCCTTCAGATTATATTTATTACTTAGTTTTGAGAGTGCTCTCCAGTTTAACTCTAAACTCCTGTAAACCTTTGTAAGTGTGATCTGGAGTTTTTAAATTAACAATAATAGTCATTAGATCCAACCTACTTTGTTCTATATTACCATAAGTGACCTTCAACAAGTCAACTGCTTCCTTGTAAGAATCATCTACATTGGGAAAGGCTTGTATGAGTATGTGAGCATCTCCTCTTATCTGTCCTTTGAGGTAAAATAATTTAGTAACACATGCTAGGTCACTCCTATCATGCACAGTTGCTTTAAAAATAGACCAAAACTCCTCCCAATTTTCTCCAGGATTAAATACAGGTAAACAGAATTCTGGGAGTTTTGGCAAAGACATCTTATTTATTGGAATAGATTGACTAACTGCCTGGTTTACACCTTTTAATTTATTCAAAGCCTGACTTTTACAAGAAAGAATATTTTCTTCTACTTCATAATACTGGTTAATCATAAGATTCATTTCTGACTCATCTGCACAATTTACTAACAAATCTCCTTCATATTTTTTATAATATAATTTGTATGAATCATATCTATTCCCTAAAGCATCTAAATACAATTTTAAATCATCAGTATTCACAGTTTCCTGATTCATTAATTCCAAACATTTATTTTATGCCTTTGTTACATGACCCTTTCTAGCCTGCAATGATGCTTTTTTTTTGCTCTAAATTCCATGTGTTTGTCATCTACATTAATTTCCTCAATTTCACCCATGGTACAATGTATTAAATTCAACTTAATTAATAACACTGATTATGTACTTAATTATGCACTTTATAAAGGTAAATATTACAACTTACCTTTGACTAAATCTTAGCTACACTTGAGCTTAGCAATTATAATATTGTAGTAATTATAATCCACTACACATTAAGTAAATTTGTGGACTTAACATCCACCTCCTTCTGTCATTTCACATACAATTATTAAGTAATTAATACACTAATTACATCCAGTTTTATCAAGAACCAACAGGCAACTATATGGAATAATAAAAATTACCTTAATGAATCTCATTAGATACATACCAGTAAATGGTGACAAAGATAATTATTCTTTATCAAGGTTACAGAGACATGTAGGAATTTTAGGACACTAGGTGGCAAAAAATGTCCCTCTTCTATACCTACTGTCATATCTCCACAAGTCACTCTGGACCTATATTAATTTCAAATGAAATATACATCACCAGGAATTCTGGTAAACATTAATATAAATATGTGGAGTGTATGTTAAATTTAAAAAATGAATACATACACATTGAAGGAGAATTTATAATTATAACACTCACCAATTTGTCTGGAGATTACTTGGTGTGTCTTACACAAACCCCTGCCTAAAATATGAAGAAAATACTGGCCAGAATTTCAACATAAATAGAGATGACTTAGCTGGGGTTCCTTGACTGTCCTGTCTACTCGCCTAATGGTCACATTATGCAGGGCTGCAAATCCAACAATTTCGACTCCTATTTGAGAAGTTTAAACACATATAACCTCTAGAGCGACGAAAATTCTTCCAATTCTTCCTTACATTTCTCTTGCCCAATTCAAAACAATGGCGTCTCTCCCCAGCGACGCTCACCAATTTTGCTGGTTCTTTATTTATTTACAAATTAATTTTTATTATTACAATATATTCCATCAATTTACATACAAAATACACAGTATTTTCGGAAAATATACAGTATTTTCGGAAAATATACAGTATTTTTCACATGCCTTAAATATACACAGGTTTATTTGAAATTGTGAGAGATAATAACTTTTGAGGGATAAATGACCGTCAGCTTGCTGGATGCTCATCTTCTGACGTTATATACAAATGCACTATAGGAAAAGCACATCTAATTTGTTTATTACATATGATGTTTTACTTACAAAAGGCTTTATCAGATATTTGATATACCCTCTTGTAATTATTATTATATTCATGAGGGAGCGCTAAACCAAAAGGGTCCTACAACGGTATGGGAATAGGAGGACATCTTCAATTCTTTGCATCAAGAGCTCTTCACTGGCATGATGGTACCTTCCCAGTAGGGAACTCTTGAAGGTGATATGTGTATAAGAAAACGTTTGGTTATACTGTGTGTGTGTGTGTTTTTCTTACCTACTCCAGGCACTTTCTACTGACGTACACTTGTTACTCAACCCCAAAGAACTGGTATACTTGAAGAATTTTGTTGGCTTGCTATTACATCCTTTCCAGTTTAGGAAAAGATATTGTTCACAACGTTATTATATAAGAAATGCTTATAGCATATTTTATTGTAGTAAGATCACAGTGTCACATCTAATCTGCTGATAAGTGTAAGTCAATTGATTTTAGTCACCTGACTAGTAAACCTCACTAAATTATTCTTAACTCTTGTCGTATAAAAGAAACTTTTAATATTTTATGGTTTTAAGTAAATATACTTATAAATCATAGATCCAGCCATTGTTTTGAATTCTTTGGTTATCTCAGATTATCAAAACTTAGTTTAAAAACTTATTGTCTCATTTTATTTAGTACCTATACCACAGAACTTCCTGTAGCATAGTTAGCATAGACCACTGTGCCTGAGTCGTGAGGATCTCAGTAATGACGACCCTCTGTGATCTTGAGGACAATGCCTGAAAGTTACTGCAGCAGTGAATGAACAAACTTCCTCTCAGCACGAAGGCAAAACCTGTGTTGTCTTCCATGGTCTTATGACAAGCCCTTAAAATGAATAAAAAGGACACTTTTGATCCGTTTTGGACCTAAAACGAAGTGTCGTAATATTCTTTTGTATAATTTAGCAAACTGCTCCAGCTACGGCACTGTATTTTGTATTCTCAGGGTATCACGTTTGTTTTTCTTTTTTTTTAAAGTTTCTTAATAAAAGTGACCAACAAAATATATACTGCTCATAATTTCCAGGATGAAATTTCAAGTAGCAGTGGTATTGTCGGTGTTGATGACAGTTGTAGTGTTGGGAGACGAGGCCCCTGTGGTGGCCACACTGGAGGGGAGGATATCTGGGGTGCTGGAGAAATCAACCAACAACAAAGTTTTCTACTCCTACTACAGTATTCCTTTTGCCATGCCGCCCTTAGGTTCTCTGAGACTCAAGGTAAAGTGTGAATGAAATCTAAGTGTACAAGTGCTTCTTTTGAGATTACTACTAAAATTAATGTTATCACAGTGAAATAGGATTAAACCTAGCTTGAACAAATTTGTGCGTAATATAGTTATCTTAAATTAAATTAATAAAATCGTTATTTTTAGTGGTTAGATAATACTGTGCATTCACATTGCTAAACTCACAAATTATGATGTAGTCACTTAGCCTTAATACCATAATCTTTAAGGATTTAATGTTAAGAATTAATCTAAGTCTGCCCGAAATGCCTAGCCATGCTAGGTGTCCTAGTGGCCCCCTCTGTAATTAGTATTTTATAACATGTAAACCACACAATACCCAAAACCTATAAACCCCACATTGTAACCCTTATAGAGAATAAACTTGATGAATTGAATTGAATTGAACTGAATTAAACTGAATTACTCCTAGTCCCTACATGAAAAGAAGAAACTTATTTCTGGATAGTTTCATGATCTTTCAGTAGGAAACTCGTTTCGAAGAAGGTACCTTGATGTTGGTGACGGGCTCTTCAACCAAGAAACCTACAAACTAATTAACTCTTCTACCCCAGGCACTGTATAACCCTTATGGGCTTAGAACTTCTCCACGAATATAAATAAAATAATTACAGAAACTCTCTGAAAAACTTTTATATGTAGATTTTTGCCCTGCAGGACCCTGTACCTGCAAAGCCTTGGGAGGGTGTACTGAACGGTTCAGTCCTGCCAGAGATGTGTCTGCAGGTTCCCTTTGTAGACACTGTGGCCGGGGTAAAGTTGCCTCCTCGGGACCTCGCCGGCAGCGAGGACTGTCTCTTCCTTAATGTTTTCACCCCTAAGGTAGGTGACTTTTCTTGTGGTAGAGTGGTTGATTGATTTGTTTGATAAACCAACCACTAAAACATTTTGCTTATTAGTCGCTGGTGGTCTGGTGGTTAAAGCTCTCGCTTCACACGGCGAGGGCCTGGGTTCGATTCCCATCCAGAGTTAGAAACATTTGGCGTGTTTCTTTCCACCTGTTGTCTATATTCCCCATCAGTAAAATGGGTACCTGGGTGTTAGTCGACTAGTGTGGGTCGCATTCTGGGACACTGACCTAATTTACCCGAAATGTTCAGCATAACAAGGGGCTTTCTATATAGTAGTATGTCACTGATGTCAACTAGGCCTGTATACCATGTACATGTACTTGTAGTAAATGAAATTATTATTATTATTATTATTATTATTATTATTATTATTATTATTATTATTACCAGTTTGCTTCTGTAATTATGAAAACTCACATGCAGCTTCTGGGTGCCTTAAGTGATGAGTCGTTTTGCCAACTTGTGGGTTTTCAACCCAATGCTGAGCAGGAATTTTTAGCGGTGGAACAAATGAAGTTATAATTTTGAGGGGTTCAGTTTATTAGCCCTGATAGAAGGTATGGAGAATGTTTTGATTTCTTAGAGAATTTAAGTCTTTTATTGTACAGAAGGTGAAATACAAAGTAGACAAAATTAACAGAGGCTAACCAAATTTTACCTGTTACTAGAACCTATTATATGCTTAAGTTTATATGAATTATCAATGCTGGAACTTCCAGGAAAAAAATAAGAAAAAAAAATTGAACCGAACAATACAAATCCGGATTCGGCTATAAACTCTTCTTCAGCCACTACAGCCATAGGCCCTAGTACAGATGTAGTAGAGGAGTTCTCTTCTTGGGAAAATGTTGGCCTCCTGAAAACAGATGGTGGCGTCTCTGGCTTGGCTCTCGAAGACTGTAGTGCAGTTCTAGGATCTGCACAGATTAGGAATACATCCAGTACGAATTGCATCTAGTCAAAAGCTAAATGGTGCAAATTCTATGCTGGGGGCATCTGTAAACATGGAATATCAGGGAGAACAAATGGGACATGCAACTTTGAGCATTCCAAAAAATGCCGCGACCTCTTGCTTACAGGAGCGTGTCATTCTAAATCTTGCAAATTCTTTCACCCCGAGATGTGTCACTCATCAGTTCTCAAAAAACAATTTTACAACACCAGCTGCCCCGCATACCACTTAAAAGGGACCAGGAGGTACACACACCCAGTAAAACAAATTATAATAGTTACAACAACTCAATTCCAGTGATTTTTTAATGGTAGGAAACGAAGAAAGAAAATGGAAAGAAATAACCAAAATAGTTCAACTTGGAGCCTTGTTGGACTGGAGGCACAGCCAGTGAACCCTCCGGAATCACAACTACTGATGCCAACAACAATATCTCCCCAATAAACATGCAACACGGCTTCATTTATATTTGCTAATATACAGGGCCTTAATTCATCAACCAACAACAAAATACCTTTCATCAGTGGACTTCTAAGGGAGTCAAATGCACTCTTTGCAGCCTTCACAGAGACCCACGCAAAAGATTGCTTTGACAGTGAAATATGGATACCTGGGTACAGCCTTTTCATATGCGACAGAAAGAACAGACAACAAAGAGGGGTTCGCCTGTATGTCAAAGAGTCGCTCATTTGCAAGGAGATACTGAACACCAAAAATGATGTAGTTTAAGTTCTAACAATAAAAATCGAGAACCAAAACTTAGATACTACCAGATGGAACAGCCTGGAAAACCTTACAACCCCATCCCCAAACATCATGTTGCTTGGTGATTTCAATCTAAGACATACAAAAATGGAAGAATGTAGCAAATAATGTAGCAGAAATAATCCCTGGAGGCAGCTCAGATGAAAACTCACACACACATGAGCTGCTGAATAAATACACCCTAAGTCAGCAGATAGTGGCGCCAACAAGACTGGAGAACACACTTAACCTTATTTTCACAAATAATGAGGACCTAGTATTAAACAATATCACAACCAATTAATTCTGATCACAATCTGATCAAAGTTCAGACTTAATGCACAGGGGTCCTGATCAGCAAAATGCATACAGCTATGAGGGTACCTTTACCAAATTCAGCTTCAACAAGAACATCAACTGGGACTAGGTAAACTATGTCTTTCATTGTATAAAATAATACTGCAATAAATATACGTGCTTGTGTACAGCATTAAAGTCAGTGTGATCCCCACCCTCAGGATGCTGCAGAACTCCCAATAATAGTGTATATTCACGGTGGTGGATACTTCTCTGGGGGAGCTAGGGAATACCTCCCTCACGTCCTTCTTAACCATGACATAGTACTCGTAGTTCTCCAGTACCGGCTTGGTACTCTAGGTAAGTACTTGGTTGTATACTTCTGCAGTATGAAGCAGTCAGTCGTGATGTGCTGCATGTTAATGCACTCAACACTAGGAATGTCTCCAGCCATGTGCAGTACTGTGTGCTCTATATCCTTGTTTTAGTCTCGATTTTGAACTTGATGACAATAATAATATATTCTCTGAGACGTCATAAATCTGATTGCGTCATTCAGGGCAAGGAGTGGAAGAAGCTCGACCCTCCATCCGCTAATCGTGAAGCACATACTGCTCCACTGTACTTTAGTATCTGTCTTGCTTTCAAAGACTGACATTATAGACTTACTAATTATATACATGCAGTTAGCCTTTTAAAATGTTGAACATAATGGGAATTTCTCCAAACCCTTAAAAGGTGACTAATCAACCTTACCCTGGCTCATGCTACTATAATAAATCAAACTTGATTGGTTCCCAAAACAGGTCAGAATGTTATGTTACACTGTCAAACGATTATATATGCATAATATAATAAATTCTTCAAGATAATGCTTATGTTCAGTAGAAGTTTCTTTCTGGCAGTCGTATATTATTTTTTCCTTATGATCATGTGATATTTTGATTTTGTCTAGGCTTCCTGTCGACCGAAGACTCAGTGATCCCCGGCAACTTCGGGCTGAAGGACCAAACTTTGGCTCTTCAGTGGGTGCAGAAGAACATTCACAACTTCGGTGGAGACAAGAGCAAAGTCACTATTATGGGCCAGAGCGCTGGGGCAGCTTCCGTCCACTACCATATTTTGTCGCCTAAATCCAGTGGTGAGCAAAAGGAAATGAATGATTTTATCAAATTCAGATAATGAAAACACTGTATATGTAAGTGGTGTCAGCTTTTAAGGAAGCATCTCCACCATGACAAACAGTTCAAAACTTTGCACAGGACTGTTCGCCCGCGCCATCATGCATTCTGGGACAGCGTTGAGCTCATGGGCGCTAACCAGGACACATAGAGCACAGGCCATGTATGTAGCTGAGAACCTCGGCTGTCCTACTCTAGAGGGAAGTGAAGCCCTCCTAAAGTGTCTGCAGGCCGCCGACGCCCCAGCCCTCGCAGCCCTAGCACAAGATTTCTTTGTAAGCTGTTGTATTTATATAAGAATATAAGAAAGAAGGAACACTGCAACAGGCCTACTGACCCATGCGGAGCAGGTCCATGTCCCCCACCGGATTAGATCAATGACCCCCCCCCCCGGATTAGCCCAATGACCCATCCAGTCTGATCATCTCCACTCAAGGATGGAGCACTGCACCAGACCTAGCAGCACAAGCTAGTCAGGTCCAACTCACACCCACCCACACCCACTCATGTATTTATCTAACCTATTTTTAAAACTACACAACGTTTTAGCCTGAATAACTGTACTCGGGAGTTTGTTCCACTCATCCACAACTCTATTACCAAACCAGTGCTTTCCTATATCCTTTCTGAATCAGAATTTTTCCAACTTGAAGCCATTGCTGCGAGTCCTGTCTTGGCTGGAAATTTTCAGCAGCTTCGAATCAATTACAGGCCCCTTTATTTATTCCTGATATTTTTATACACCTCGATCATTATATCCTCCCCTAATTCTACGACCTTTGAGAGAGTGCAGATTCAGTGGACCCTCATTATCCTTCATAGGGAAGATTTTTGATACATTGGATCATCTTTGTCATCCTCCTCTGTACGTTTTCCAGAGCATTTATATCCATTCTGTAATACGGTGACCAGAACTGAGCAGCATAGACTAAATGAGGCCTAACCAAGGATATATAGAGTTGAAGAACAACCTGAGGACTTCTATTATTTATACTTCTAGATATGAAGCCAAGAATTCTGTTAGCTTTATTGCGAACACTAATGGTTTTAAATTACTGCTAACCAGAACTCCTAAATCCTTTTCGCAATCAGTAGTATTAAGATCTACATTATTTAGTTTATATGTGGCATGGTTATTTACCTGTCCAACATTTAGAACTTTGCATTTGTCCATATTAAACTGCATCTGCCACTTCTCCGACCATTGCATCAGTCTATTCAAATCATCCTGGAGTGCTCTAGTGTCCTCATTAGAATGAATTGGACGGCCTATTTTAGTGTCATCAGCAAATTTGATTATGTTGCTATTTATTCCCACATCTATGTCGTTTATGTAAATTGTGAACAACATTGGGCCCAACACTGACCCCTGAGGAACACCGCTTGTGACGTGGCCCCATTCTGATTTCTCCCCATTTATGCAAACTCTCTGCTGTCTATTTGTCAGCCATGCCTCTACCAAGGAAAAAATTTCTCCTCCTATTCCGTGTGCCTTAAGTTTCCTCAATAGCCTCTGGTGTGGAACTCTATCGAGAGCCTTACTGAAGTCCATATACACAATATCATATTCATTACCATGATCTACCTCCTCAAACACCTTAGTGAAAAACGTTAGTAAATTCGTAAGACAGGAACGCCCCTTTGTAAAACCGTCTTGAGATTCATTAATTAATCTGTGCCTATCAAGATGGCTACGAATTGCTTCGGCAATTATTGATTCCATTGAGAACTGTATTTAAAGAAGTTAGTTACACAAATATATTTCCTAAATTTGCTTTAAATATTTGATTTTTATATAGGAAAATAAAAGTTTATTGTCACCGAAGATACAAGAATCTCCTGAGAAAGTTTTTGGGCAGCCTACGTCATTCTTCTTGCCACTGAGAAACAGCTTTCTGTTACAGATTCACTCAGCTCATTTACATGAGGAGAAATGTGTTATGTATACTCCCTGTTGTTTACAATGTTTGTTTCCAGTTTTAATGTGTTTGAGTTGAGTCTTTCAGTTTCTGTTCGTCTCTGACCAATGAGGAGTACAGGGTCCAGCGATAATGATCGTCTTGTTTATGGGCAGAGTCCAGATAAAAGTTGTGAACATTGGAGTATTCTGTTGATGTCTCGGTTCTTTTTTCTTTTTAATCTTGTCGAAATTTGCCTGTTCCGAATATAGTTAATATAACAGTGAATGTTTCTTTTAAAATTTCTAAAACAGTTCTAAAATTACCTTCACTGGTGCTTATTTGCATCCTGCACATCATTCTGTGTTTTCAAGTAACTTGCTTATGACAACGCTGTATGACTCAGGTGGTTTAGCGCTTAGTTATGATTATAATAATAATTTAGGTTAACGAAAATGATGCATGACTTTAATGGGTTATTCATCTAGGTCTCCATTAATTGTGTTACTCAATATGATCTACATGCTGTCTTGTGGTTTCACAGTTACCAGTTTCCATATGTAAGTCATTTTCACTTCTCAAGTTAATGCAGTAATGCTTCCCTTCCTACTAACAGAAGTGGTTCATATTGCCCATGACACTTAGCCCACGAGTGGATGGAGACTTTGTGCCTGATGAGCCAGGTCTTCTGCTCAGGGAGGGACGCTACACCAAGGTTGACCTCTTGGCCGGTGCTGTCAGCCAGGAAGGAGCTATGTTTACTCACGGTCGGTTTTACAACATGTGCATCTTCATTATCAATTTTATTACTTTTATTGTTTATTAATATTATTATTATTATTATTATTATTATTATTATTATTATTATTATTATTATTATTATTATTATTATTATTATTATCAGTATTATTATTATTGATAGTAGTAGTAGTAGTAGTAGTAGTAGTAGTAGTAGTAGTAGTAGTAGTAGTAGTAGTAGTAGTAGTAGTAGTAGTAGTAGTGTAGATAGTAATAATAATAATAGTAATAGTAGTAGTAACAGTAGCAGTAGTAATAGTAGTAGTAGCAGTAGAAGTAGCAAAAGTAGTAGTATTAAATACAATGGCGGTCTACCACCGAGATACTAATCAATTCATTCATTCATTCAGTAGTGATCTTGCCAAAAGTACGCAGACATCACATTTCAAATGCCTCTCCTAACTACAACATCCTCACCTTTGAAAGTTAAGACACATGTGCAACATCTGGATATCTTTATTGTAGACGTTTCGCCATCCAGTGGCTTTATCGATACAGATTCTAGGACATAATTAGAAGACAGTAGAATTATATACAAAAGATGAGGTAATCAGTCCCTCAGCCTTGGAGTTAGTGTTCACAGCATCGTGGTGGAGGAGAATCTGGAGTAAAGGCAAGAAGACTGGGGGTTATATAGGCCTCAGTGGATAAGGACGTGTAGCAGACAAGGGCATAGTCACTGGTAGGCGGGATTCCCCAGTGGAAGTAGGTCCTACCCAAAGGGATTGGTTAGTTGTAGCAGCCGGGAGTGCAGTAAGCTGTTATGGGACGAAATTCATAAGGCATCTAGATATAAAAATGTTGTGATAATGGGAGATTTTAACTTTAGACAAATTGATTGGAACAATATGACAGGAAATCCTGAGTGTTTTAAAAATTGAGGTTGGAGAGTTGAAGGAGGAGGTCTTGCTTCTCCAGGAGGAGATTAGGAGGCTGAAGGTCCACCTCAATGGGTCTGGGAGAGAGTGTGAGGTGGCTGGAGTTGTGGGGAATGAGGCTTCTAGCAGTGAGGTGCAGTCTGTCTCTCGCTGTGAGGAGGCTGTAGGTGGGGAGGTAGCAACGGCTACCAGCAGTGAGGTGCAGTCCAGCACCTGCTACAAGTGGCGAGTGGTAGCCAGTAATGGGAGGAGAATCAGAATAAGGAAAGTTAAGAGTGAAGATCTGAAGGTAGGAAATCGCTTCTCTGTTCTTCAGGATGAATGTACTTCAGTGGCCAGTGAAGATAAGGGTACTACTGCCCCTGCTAACAGAGGTAAGCCCATTCTTGTGGTTGGTGACTCTCAGGTAAGATATATTGATCGTGCTTTTTGTAATAGGAATAAGAAGATGAGAGATAGAGTGTGCTTCCCTGGAGCTGGTGTTGGGGACATAGTTAACAGGCTGGATAATATCATGTCAGGTAATGGGAACAAGCCCATTATTTGTCTCAGTGCTGGTGGAAATGATATTGGGAAGGGTAGGAGAGAAGAGCTGCTAGGTAAGTACAGGTCAGCTATAGATTTCATTAAGTCTAAGGGAGGGGTCCCAATCATATGTAGCATCTTTCCTAGAAGGGGAGTAGGAAATGAATGGTTGTCTAGGGCAATTGGTGTAAATTGCTGGCTAGACAGATACTGCAAGGAACTTGCAATCCCATTCATTGACAACTGGAACAACTTTTATGGCAAACATGATATGTATGCAAGGGATGGGGTACATCTCTCTGGGGCTGGGGTGGTAGCACATGCAAACTCAATTGAGGAGGCCAGTGGTGATATGCCTATGATTTTAAACTGATAAAATATATAGGTATGGGTGTGTGTGGGAAACAAGCAGGTTGCAACACTAGGGTTGGAAACAGCGAATGTATAAAAGGCATTCAGCATGAAGTTATAAATAAAGACAATAGATCAGGTCAGCAAACAAAGGGGGACAGCAGAGGACAGCAGAGGACAGCAAGGGACTAGCTCCCTTAATGTTTACTATACTAATAGCAGGAGTGTAAGAAATAAGATAGATGAGCTAAGATTAATTGCAAGTGCAGGAAACATAGATATTATTGCTATAACAGAGACCTGGCTCAGTCTGAAAGATAGAGAGATGCCCTCTGAATGTCACATACAAGACTATAAATTATTCCACACTGACAGGGTCAACAGGAAGGGTGGTGGAGTAGCGATGTATGTCAGAGGCAATTTAAATTGTTGTGTTAGACAAGATATAAAAGTAGAAGCGTCAACCACTGAATCTGTTTGGTTACAGCTTCTCGAGGGCCGAGAAAAACTAATTTTGGGTGTGATTTACAGGGCCCCAAATCTTGATAGGGAGTGCAGTAAACTTCTATGGGACGAAATTCGTAAGGCATCTACATACGAAAATGTTGTGCTAATGGGAGATTTCAACTATAGACAGACTGACTGGAAATTTAGTGTCAGGCGACTTTCTTGATACGATCCAGGATTGTTTTTTAAAACAGTTTGTGACAGAGCCAACTAGGGGAAATAACCCCCTTGACTTGGTTCTTGCCAGTAGGGAAACACTAATTAATAATCTTGAGGTTAATGATGAGCTTGGGGAAAGTGATCACAAATCACTCAGTTTTAATATATCATGGAATTCCCCTAATAATGGCAATCAAGTCTCCGTCCCTGACTTTCGCTTGGCTGATTTCATAGGACTGAAAAATTACTTAGGTGGGCTGAACTGGAATGACCTGACTAAGGGTCAGGTAGGTGGCGATGGTTGCCGATATGATGCTTTCCAGGGCATAGTTCTAGCTGCTCAGTCAAATTATGTTCCAAATAGGGAAATCAGATCAAACAAAAATGATCCTAAATGGATGAAACAATAGATTAAAATATCTGATTGGTCAAAAGAGAGGCATATATAGGCAAATCAAAAGAGGAGAGGGGCAATTAAGAAATCGATATATTCAGTTAAAGAGAGAAATAAAAAAGGGAATTAGAAAAGCAATAAGAGATTATGAGGTTAAAGTTGCAAGAGAATCGAAGACTAACCCAAAAGGATTCTTTCAGGTATACAGAAGTAAGATCAGGGACAAGATAGGCCCACTCAAAAGTTCCTCGGGTCAGCTCACTGACAGTGATAAGGAAATGTGTAGAATTTTTAACACATACTTCCTCTTAATTTTTACACAGGAGGATACCAGCGATATTCCAGAAATGATAAATTATGTAGAACAGGACGATAAACTGTGCACGATTAGGGTCACAAGTGACACGGTCCTTAGGCAAATAGATAAATTAAAACCTAACAAATCCCCAGGCCCTGATGAACTGTATGCAAGAGTTCTAAAGGAATGCCTCTTCAAGGGGGGCTCCTTGGCGTGGTGAAGAGGCTCTTGGTCTGAGGAATTAGCCCTGTCGGTCTTCTTCCTCAGACCGAACCTAATTACCCCCCATTCTCCCCTCCCCTATCCCATCCTCCCCATCCTCCCCTTTTTCCATTCCTCCTCCTCCTCCTCACCCCTCCCTTTTGCCCTTCCTCTTTTTAGCCTTCGTGATTTCTCCCACAGGCGCGCTAGTTCCTAGGTAGGGGAAAGGACACCGGGGTCCATCCCATTCCGTTGAGGTTTCTTGGCGGTGGCGTAGTTTGCCGTGGAATCTGGATTGCCTAGGGATGTCCCGATCCCTCTCCGGTATCCCGGAGTAGCTTTGGGTGTCTTTGGGCGACGGGTGTTATCTCTGGAAGCCACCTTTCGGATTCCGGGGGTGGTGGCTGAAGGAGGTATGCTTTGTGGCGGATATCCGGCCGCCCTCTCTTTTGTCCACCGAGGTAGCTCGGCAGATGTGAGGTTGCTATCCAGATTGCTGGTTTACTGGCATGAAGGGTAGGGTATGGCACGGGTTCCATGCTGCATCTGCGCTACTAGCGGTTGTCGAGTCCTCTTGGGCGCGGAGGGGGATTTCGGCCCTTTCATTCCTCCTGGGAACTATTCCTCCCCGCTCCCCCCTTTTTTTATCTTTTTTTTATTTTTATTTTCTTTTCTTCTTTCTTTTTTTTTCTTAAAAACAAAAAGCAAAGGAGTAAACCTAACCATGGCAGCCCTAGTCCATGAAACCACTACCCCGGGCCCCTTCTTGATACCGCACCCCATTCTGACCCTGCCTTGTGTTTAGACCACTCTTCGGACACTTCCTGATGCCCTGTACCTCTTGCTGGTGCTGTTTCCTCACCCGCTTCAGGTACCGGGGCTTCGACTGACTCCTTCGATTTGTCTGAACTCCGCTCTCCTTTGACTATGCTTCCGGCTTCTCCCTCTACGGTACGGCAATTTTCGAATCGCCCACCCATTTCCTGCCGGACCAACTCCGGTCCTACTCCTAAACGCCAACGTCAATCTCCTGATGATGCTCCGTCGTTACCTTCCCATTCTACTCGGAAACGACCGACACGTAAGCACTCCCTCTCCACGCTCAGTTTCGGACCCAAATACTAAATTCTTTTTCTTTAAGACCCAAATTCTT